TCAGTGGTCACCTTCCAAGTAGAGACCAAATAGGCCATACCCCAAATTCCATGAAGCTACCATTGCTCAAGATAATTGTTAAATCTTGTTCAAGTCTGATGGCACATCTCTGCATCCTCAATGAGAACTTTGTCCTCCACGGGACAATCCAGATGTAAGTCTGGACTTTACACCTGCCTATGTGTAACCTGTTCAGCAGTTAAGAGTTTGCAAAGTGTTTCAATATTCATGATCTCTTTTACCCCTCCATGTTATGCTATGAAGCAAGATGCTCATCCTTGGTTTTAAAGGTGTAGCTCATGGGTAGAGGGCCAGGTCTAAAACTGAGGTCTCTAGATTCCAAGTCTCATCTTATTTTCACTCTGATACCACAGCCACTGGATGAAAGAACTGAACAATATGTCAGAGAATGCCAGTGGCATTAATGACTACAGCATTTCCCCCTCCTCTGAGAATCAGAGCTCAGACTCTGGGGTAAGGGACAATTAGGTTAAAATCCCAACCCTAACACTTATTAACCAAGTGATCTTGGGCAAATTGCTTTTACTCTGTGGACCTCAGTTTCTTAATATATAGGAGAAAGATAAGAACAATATCTAGACTTCATTGGATTGTTGTGAGGATGCTGCATGCGAAGTATTTTAGCAGGGTGTTTTATAATACTTTTAGTATACAGTAAGTCCTTACCATAGGCTCTGTGATTTTGAGCAAAATGACATATAACAAATTTTACCACTGGCTCATTGATGTAAACAAGAATTAATTCCTATGGCATCTCACCAATGCTATAATGAAAAGACACTGAATGAAATTGTTATTGGAAGAGCTGCTGCATATGTATGTTGTATGTATTTAGTATTTTAAAATACCTTTAATAATGGTATTAACTGCATTAAAGAAACAGTGTTAATCAAGTGAAATTCTGATTGATCTGCCAAGTCTCTGATGATGCAGATATTCTACAGGGAAGTAAAGACGGTGAGCACAGCAGTCTGGGCACTTACCGCGAGGATGGCGATGACGATCCCCACGGCGCAGAGCACAGCATCATTTATTGTCTCACCAGTTTTCAGGGGATACTTGATGCTGTCATCGTTGCAGTAGAACCCTCGGTGGTAAGGCTTGATGGTGCTGGTCTCAATGATCAGGAAGGGCAGGCCAGCTGGTCAGGATGGAACCATCGCACATACCAGAAAAAAAAACAAAACAAAACGAGGGGAAAACGTCAGTGCACTGTGGTTAAAGAATGACTACAGCAGCCCTTGCCGGTTTGGCCCAATGGATAGAGTATCGCCCTGCAGACTGAAGGGTTCCGTATTCTATTGCAGTCAAGGCTATACGCTAGGTTGTGGACTCAATCCCCAGTAGGGGGCGTGCAGGAGGCAGCCAATTAATGATTTTCTCTCATCATTGATGTTTCTCTTTCTCTCCCTCTCTCTTCCTCTTTGAAATCAATACAAATATCAGAAAAAAAAGAATGACTACATCAAAGACCACCCCAAATGACAACACTGACAGTGATATTAACTCCTTGAGAACTTCCACACCACACATCCCCTCTCCTCCTTTCCTTACTCTTCGTGTCTAAGGGCACAGGGGAAGGCAGTGGGAGAGCCAGAGCAGCGTGTCCCCACTGCTCTACAGCATCCTGCTAACAGTTAACCCCCAATTTGTAATAATGACTAACACAGCCCCACATCAATGATGTGTCATTATGCCTTCAAGTACATTCTTCTCTCATCTTAACCATTTCCCCTTTGAGAAGTGCATCTTAAGGTTGTGGAGCATGGAGTAGTGAAGGCCTGGGGTCAGATACCTTGAATTTGAATCTCAGATCCACCACTTCCCAGTAGTAAGACTTCTGGTTCTCACGCTACCTTCCTGGGCCTCAGTTTGCCCATATGTCAAAGGCCTGTGGTGATGACTAAGGGAGAAAAAAGCACAGGGAATTGCTAGCACAGTGCCTGGCACACAGTAGCTGTTCAATGAATACCATTTTCTGTCTTTTTCTTTCAAAGAGTCATTGAGAAGCTGGAGCAGAGCTGAGCTGGCCCCACTGCCTGCGGACCTGGAGCAGCGCCCAAGGGCACCTGAGAGCGCCAAGCTGCTAGTGCAGCTGCTGTGGGTTTAATCAGTGGCCAGCTCAGATGCCATTCTCTTAAAGGTCATGGCAAATGGATGCCATCACCTGCCAGGAAAAAAGTTCCGAATAGCCCTAAAGTAAAGGGTGAAAGGTCACAATATTTCTTGCTTCAACATAGCAACAGCCTCTAAATCAGTCTCTGGCCTTCACTGCCTCTTACACATAGCCACCAGTTTACTTCCTGACCATGACATTGCTTTGCTAAAGCCTCTTCAGAGGTTCCTCATTGCACAGGACGAGATTAAGTATGGTCTGCAGTTACCCATGACCTGAGCCTTCCTCTCCAGACTCAGGGTCTCCAGCCCCACTCCCATCCTACAAGGAAACTATACTCAGAGACTCTTATCCTGGTGCAGGCACTTTTCTGAGACCCGAAGACCTATTTCTCCCCTAGCACCCAAGTTCAACACCAAGCACCAATGCCACCCCACAATGTAAAAGGTAAGTCACTGAATGTCAGGACTAGGGAAGATCATGAAAAACAGCGGGTTAATGGCCACAGACACCGCTGATGTGCACCTACAATGTGTAAGGTACTTTACATCCATTTTTGCATCGAATTTTTCAACAACCCTGAGAGGTCATTTTAAAGCATCATTTAAGCATGACTATCGCTCATTTTCAAGTGGGAAAGAAAAGATTCATAGAGACTATTTAGCTCACTCAGAGTCTCTTAGCCCATCCCCAAATGCCTAAATCCCGAATTTTACTTTGCAAATTGGATTTATCCCAATGTGAATTTCATTAGCTAAAAAAAAAAAATCCCAAGATAAGCTGTTGTTAAAAAGATAAAATTCCATTTTAATGTTTTTCAAAAAGAATAAAATTCATGTCATGCTGCTCAAAGGCCTAGACCACCTCTTCAAAAAAAGAAAAAAAAAATGTACCATGAACTCCACAATTTTTCAATTACTTCGGTCCAGACCGGCAGCGATAAAAATGCTCACTTTCTAAAAAGTATGTTTATGTATCACTGTGCATACACGCATGGATTTATTTGGTTTTATTCTTTGGATTTATTTGAATTCTACGGCTATTTATTTTGTGACCCCTAACTGCTTCCTGTTAGAACAACAATTTACTTTATCAAATTCATACTAGTGCTTTGAAAAGAAAGAACAGCAACACACCACAGCATTGTGCCTGACCTTCTCAAAGTCAACACAGAGGGCCCTGAAGGCAATAACCATCAGCCCTTTAAACTCGGTCTCGGCAAAGGAGTAAAGGGGGCAAGGGAGGCGGCAGATGGGCATGCTGGCGTAGAAATGGCAACAGCAATTAGCTGATCTTTTGGGGCTGGGGGCCTGGGAGGGAAAGCTATCACATGGGCTTGAGCCATCTTCATTCCACTGCCTAAACATTTTGAAATGTGACCAACTTGGCTATGAAAAGTCGCTGAGAAGCCAGCGGTATGATATTAATAGTCCACTTTTAAGTCCCACCCATCGTGATAAAATCATCCAGCTTTGTGTCTGTGCACAGCTGCAGCCTCTGTGGTGCCTGGGAGCCCAAACGTTGCTAATAAACTCAGGTAGGGAACAGACCCTGAGTTCCCTAAGTGTGTGCTGCCCCCTCAGGCCCCCAACTTCTATTTTTAATGGCGTTCACATGATAGGCCTGTAAAACATATGTTTCTAAGGACAATAAAACACATATAAAACGGCTGTGGAGTGAGACAGAATGGAGTTAATGATCTCAACTCTGCTGCCTTCTACTTGAACAAGCTAGTTCACATCTCCAAAAGCCCTGCTCATCTGTTCAATGAGAGAATGAAATCTAGCTTTGGGATAGCTGGGATGATGACTATGGTAATGTAGTCATTCATTCATTCATTTATACAAATATTTATTGAGTCTTTACTATGTATATTAACTACAGGGAATACAAAGATGACACAAGCCCTGCCCTCAGGGAGCTTACGATCCAGAAGGGGAAGGCACATCTGCCCAATTAAAATCAGAACGGGATGTTGCTTCAGTTGGAAGGCGCCAGGCCACAGCATTGGTAATGTGAGCACAGTCTGGCACATGCTATGGACCCTCAGTAAATGTTAAAAGGAAGAAGGGGAAACGTCCCACAGAGAAGGTTAGGAAAGAAAATGTCTGGTCAGTGCCTTTGCCCTCCCAACCTGGGAGCAATCCAAACCCTTTCTTCCTCCCTTGTTCAAGGCTTGGGAGGGTTTCCGGTTCTGATTATGTAGAGGATGACCACAAACAGACAAGAAGTTGGATCTGAATATGTTCTGTTTGTATTCTTGAAAGGCATTGAAATAGCACTGAGAAAACCCAATGGCTTTTTTTTGTCTCCCCTACCAACTGTGGTCTGAGTGGGGGGTGATGCCAGTCAAATCTTTGTTCCAGGAAGAGAGTACCCTCAGATTTCTTCAGTGGATAGGAAAAGCATAAACACTTTCCCCATTGGGGCAGCTAGTTCTCAAGAGATGTATCACCCTGCCTTCCCTCTCCAGGTCACAGAGAAAAGGCTAGTTTTTTTTTTTTTTCCCCCAAGGCAGGGTCTCCATTTCCAACTTGGCACCACCTTTTCTACCAGCCACTACAGTGCCTGATCATTTCATTTCAAGAAAATTCTCATTACTAGCCACTAGGAATCTAAAGGTGAATACATCACAGGACTTGTCCTCAAGAGGTTCATGGTATTGTAAGGAAGACACAAAAACAAGTGCACTAAAATATTCCTAACGTGTGACTGACATGTAGACTACAGCGAGGACACAAAAGACTACTCTGCTATGGATACTAAAGATGGCCCATGGCTGATGGGAGGCTTGAGTTGACCTTATATGAGCAAGAGTTTTCTGGTGTCCAGAGGCTAAGTGCACTTGTGAGAACTCAGTGTAGTTTAGGGATTCCAATAAGGCAATCAAGAAAACTGATGGCCATCATGAAAATACAATTTTAAATTTGGCTACAGCGCTGGAAGAGATACATAAGTAAACACTGAAGGGAAGGAAGGGAAAAATAGCATGGAGAACAGTAATAATAGCTAACAGTGAATAAACTACTATTACGTGCCCTCACTGTGCTGAGGACCCCACATAAACACTGCAGTCTGACAAACCTGGCTGCCTATAATGTTCTAGGTACTGATGGGGCTGCTGAGATGAAGGAATTTGCATCCCAGCCATCAGGTAGACCACGAGCTAATGGGAGAAACAGTTATGAAAACGAACACATTAGGGCCCTGGCTGGGTAGTTCAGTTGGTTCGATAGAGTACTGTCCCGATAAGCCAAGGTTGTGGGTTTGATCCCTGGTCAGGGCAGATACAAGAATCAACCAATGAATGCATAAATAATCGGAACAACAAATCTCTTCCTCTCTCTCTCAAAACAAAACAAACAAACAAACAAACAAAAAACTAATATATTAGTAGTCATCTCCAAATGGTAAATTATGGATACTTCTGCTTTTTACTGTTCCTGTTGGATGTATTTTCTAACTGTTTTTTAATAAATGCACATTTGCTTTCAAGTAAAAAAGTTATTTCTAAAGAAAAAACAAAACTAACACGTTAAGTCACCTTAAGGTTCAAAGGGAATAAAGTGACTTACCAGCCACTGAGCAAGTACATAGTGGGGTTGCACAGGGCTCAAATGATCTGACTCCTAAGTGCTTTCTAAAGCAAGTGAGTCACTTAAAACAGAAGGAAGCACCTATGAGTATTGATAAGTTAAATAAAACTCAGCAAACCTTCTGACCTTTGAAGAAAAATAATGGTTTGTTTGGAACAGTCAAGGCCACAGCACTGGATACTGTCCACTGAACATTCATGTGCTCAAGATCTAATTTAATTGAAACTCTGGAGCCAATATCCAAGAACTTAGATTTATCTATAATGAAAGGTAGATTACCAGCTTTTTGCAAAGCAGAACCAAAAGTGTGTACACACACACACACACACACACACACCATCTGGTGACTCCAGACCCAGACTCAAGTATTTCTCCTTCTTTTAATCAAGGATCAATTAACTTCCTATACCTCCAGGGACCTCTTGGGAT